TAAAGTGCCACACAAGTGGCCACTACTAAAGTGCCACACAAGTGGCCACTACTAAAGTGCCACACAAGTGGCCACTACTAAAGTGCCACACAAGTGGCCACTACTAAAGTGCCACACAAGTGGCCACTACTAAAGTGCCACACAAGTGGCCACTACTAAAGTGCCACACAAGTGGCCACTACTAAAGTGCCACACAAGTGGCCACTACTAAAGTGCCACACAAGTGGCCACTACTAAAGTGCCACACAAGTGGCCACTACTAAAGTGCCACACAAGTGGCCACTACTAAAGTGCCACACAAGTGGCCACTACTAAAGTGCCACACAAGTGGCCACTACTAAAGTGCCACACAAGTGGCCACTACTAAAGTGCCACTGGCCACTACTAAAGTGCCACACAAGTGGCCACTACTAAAGTGCCACACAAGTGGCCACTACTAAAGTGCCACACAAGTGGCCACTACTAAAGTGCCACACAAGTGGCCACTACTAAAGTGCCACACAAGTGGCCACTACTAAAGTGCCACACAAGTGGCCACTAAAGTGCTGGCCACTAAAAGTGCCACACAAGTGGCCACTACTAAAGTGCCACACAAGTGGCCACTACTAAAGTGCCACACAAGTGGCCACTACTAAAGTGCCACACAAGTGGCCACTACTAAAGTGCCACACAAGTGGCCACTACTAAAGTGCCACACAAGTGGCCACTACTAAAGTGCCACACAAGTGGCCACTACTAAAGTGCCACACAAGTGGCCACTACTAAAGTGCCACACAAGTGGCCACCTAAAGTGCCACACAAGTACTAAAAGTGCCACACAAGTGGCCACTACTAAAGTGCCACACAAGTGGCCACTACTAAAGTGCCACACAAGTGGCCACTACTAAAGTGCCACACAAGTGGCCACTACTAAAGTGCCACACAAGTGGCCACTACTAAAGTGCCACACAAGTGGCCACTACTAAAGTGCCACACAAGTGGCCACTACTAAAGTGCCACACAAGTGGCCACTTCTAAAGTGCCACACAAGTGGCCACTACTAAAGTGCCACACAAGTGGCCACTACTAAAGTGCCACACAAGTGGCCACTACTAAAGTGCCACACAAGTGGCCACTACTAAAGTGCCACACAAGTGATCACTACTAAAGTGCCACACAAGTGGCCACTACTAAAGTGCCACACAAGTGGCCACTACTAAAGTGCTACACAAGTGGCCACTACTAAAGTGCTACACAAGTGGCCACTACTAAAGTGCCACACAAGTGACCGTTACTAAAGTGCCACACATGTGGCCACTACTAAAGTGCTACACAAGTGGCCACTACTAAAGTGCCACACAAGTGGCCACTACTAAAGTGCTACACAAGTGGCCACTACTAAAGTGCCACACAAGTGGCCACTACTAAAGTGCCACACAAGTGGCCACTACTAAAGTGCTACACAAGTGGCCACTACTAAAGTGCCACACAAGTGATCACTACTAAAGTGCCACACAAGTGGCCATTACTAAAGTGCCACACAAGTGGCCACTACTAAAGTGCCACACAAGTGGCCACTTCTAAAGTGCCACACAAGAGACCACTACTAAAGTGCCACACAAGGGATCACTACTAAAGTGTCACACAAGTGGCCACTACTAAAGTGCCACACAAGTGATCACTACTAAAGTGCCACACAAGTGGCCACTACTAAAGTGCCACACAAGTGGCCACTACTAAAGTGCCACACAAGTGGTTACTACTAAAGTGCCACACAAGGGATCACTACTAAAGTGCCACACAAGAGCCCACTACTAAAGTGCCACACAAGTGGTTACTACTAAAGTGCCACACAAGTGGCCACTACTAAAGTGCCACACAAGTGGCCACTACTAAAGTGCCACACAAGAGCCCATACTAAAGTGCCACACAAGTGGCCACTACTAAAGTGCCACACAAGTGGCCACTACTAAAGTGCCACACAAGTGGCCACTACTAAAGTGCCACACATGAGGCCACTACTAAAGTGCCACACAAGTGGCCACTACTAAAGTGCCACACAAGTGGCCACTACTAAAGTGCCACACAAGTGGCCCCTACTAAAGTGCCACACAAGTGGCCACTACTAAAGTGCCACACAAGTGGCCACTACTAAAGTGCCACACAAGTGGCCACTACTAAAGTGCCAAACAAGTGGCCACTACTAAAGTGCCACACAAGTGGCCACTACTAAAGTGCCACACAAGTGGCCATTACTAAAGTGCCACACAAGTGGCCACTACTAAAGTGCCACACAAGAGATCACTACTAAAGTGCCACACAAGAGGCCATTACTAAAGTGCCACACAAGAGATCACTACTAAAGTGCCACACAAGTGGCCATTACTAAAGTGCCACACAAGTGGCCACTACCAAAGTGCCACACAAGTGGCCATTACTAAAGTGCCACACAAGAGATCACTACTAAAGTGCCACACAAGTGGCCATTACTAAAGTGCCACACAAGAGATCACTACTAAAG